AGTGACGCTCAGCATGTTCGTATACAGTTAAATAAAATGTAAGTACTGTAGTGACGGCTGAGCGTCACTACATTACTTACATTTTATTTAACTATATACGAACATGCTGAGCATCACTACAGTACTTACATTTTATTTAACTGTACACGAACATGCTGAGATGTTCGTGTATAGTTAAATAAAATGTAAGTACTGTAGTGACGCTCAGCATGTTCGTATACAGTTAAATAAAATGTAAGTACTGTAGTGACGCTCAGCATATTCGTATACAGTTAAATAAAATGTAAGTACTGTAGTGACGCTCAGCATATTCGTATACAGTTAAATAAAATGTAAGTACTGTAGTGACTCTCAGCATCTTCGTGTACTGTAGTGACGGTCAGTACGTTCGTATGCAGTTAAATAAAATGATATAAGAATAGAGAAAAACAAGAAATAAATCAGTAAAAAGCTTTTCAATTTTTTACAAACGTTAAAACTCAGACATGAGTTGAAAATAGAGGTATTTTAAAATATGCGTACGTTTAATTGTTATATGTAACTTTAACCAAAGAGAGAGAGAGAGAGATACTACAAAGTGTTTTATGTTTGTGTGTTATTAAGCACAAAGCTACACAATGGGCTATCTGTGCTCTGCCCACCACGGGTATCGAAACCCGGATTCTAGCGTTGTAAGTCCGCAGACATACCACTGTGCCACTGGGGGGGGGGGACTACAAAGTGTATTCCAACACTTAATAACTTTCAAAGTCCTAAGTGTCGGTGCCAACATTATAGAAGAAAGGGGACTACAAAGTGTATTCCAACACTTAATAACTTTCAAAGTCCTAAGTGTCGGTGCCAACATTATTTTAGAATAGTTTGTTATTATTTAGATAAATATTGTGAAGTTAACCTTCCACTTTCTGTTTCATAACAAAGGTTATCAACATTATTCTAGAATAGTTTGTTATTATTAAGATAAATATTGTGAAGTTAACCTTCCACTTTCTGTTTCATAACAAATGTTATCAACATTATTCTAGAATAGTTTGTTATTATTAAGATAAATATTGTGAAGTTAACCTTCCACTTTCTGTTTCATAACAAAGGTTATCAACATTATTCTAGAATAGTTTGTTATTATTAATATAAATATTGTGAAGTTAACCTTCAACTTTCTGTTTCATAACAAGGGTTATCAACAATTATTTCTATATTCCATAATTTTTAACATTTATATCTGATCTTCTTCTAGTGGCTCTATGGTAAGCTTGAGGGCTTATAACCCCTAAATTCGAGGCTAAATTCACAGCACGGATAGCCTATTGTGCACTTCGCACTTCTATAATAATATTTTATATATATATGTATTTATTTTGCTACAAAGTATATAAGTGTTTCGGCCCTGTCACGAGTTTCTTATCAGACTGTACACCCCAGTACAATGTTCGCTCTCCACATTCATTCATGATTTGTCGTCCTTCTGCCAGTGAAGTGAAACTGATGTTACATTTTATGAAATCGGTAGGTGATCAAAATGAAAGCAGAAGAAGATAATTTAGTTAATTTAGTAATGGATATCAGGATATCATCTGATGACAGAAAGAAGGAAAGACCCCCCCCCCCCCGGGATATGATATCTCGGTGGGAAGATTTTTCTCGTCAGTTGATGGAAAGAATGATACATTACTGTGACATTTAACGCAATTTAAGGCCAAACCATCTACAATGGGCTTGTTACGTATCCTTACACGTGTCCTACTGTAGTCGGATGTACGTAAAGTGATGAGACAAACAAATAATCATTTCTTTCTTTGCTAAGAAATATTGTTCACTTGAAAACTGTTAGACAAAACACTGAATTATTCCGCTTTGTATATAATAAACAAGTGTTAAAAATGAGAAAAAGACCAGTGAAAAATGTTTATTCTTTCTTATTTGAACAACATTGTTAGTTATGTGTGGAAAAGTACTATGTTTGATTACAAAAGATTAATAATTCCGAACGAGCCTAAAATCAGTAACGTTTTATGCTACAGCTATTCATTTAAAATATTCCATGTTTAAAAATCTTTACAAGAAACCCATATGATACGTTGTTATAAAAACGTTCTGATTAAAAACATAATGCTTGAATAGATGTAGATTTCTTTTTCATTCATTGTAACTTTCAAATTATACTTTAATCAGTCTTAGAGTTGAGGAAATTCAAATCTATAACGTAACTCGTATCATTTTAAAACTTAATCTTACACTAATAACTGTTAAACAATGAATGAATACTAATCTTCTAGAGTAACTGAAACTTTGAATATTGTGGTTCCCACGTGAGCTCAGAGATGGAGGATTTCGATCACACAAGATTAGTAAAAAAAACAAAAACTTGCAATAGATTTTCTGCAACTAAAGTTGGAGATAACACAAATATCAAACCTTACCTGAATTCAAAACGTAAAATGGCAACATCAGTAAGAAAGTTGCTTGGTAAACACGTGTATTTGTGAACAATTGTGGCAAAGATTTCATCGTGTTTTTTTTTTTTTCACTTGATACAATGCCTGTTGGTAGAAATCACAAAACTGAAAAAAAGTGAACATAAGTTTAATGAAAACTTCCAGTTCCAGTTCGTTAATTAATGTGTTAATTCAGAAAATGTTAAATATAGATAGAGCAATAACACTTAGAAAGGTATGTGTGAAAAGAGAGAAGAGTTTTAAAGAAACGTACACTTACAAGCTGTTAAATAGATTAAACGAAATATTAAATAGCTAAAATATAGACATAGAAAATAAATAGAAATCAATTACCTTCACACAGCTCACCTTCTTCTAAATGTTTAATGAAAAATTTTTTTTATTTTTAAACATCTAATGAGAAATAAAAACATTATTCAGGAAGGGCTATCCATCAAGTTTAAGATTTAAAAAAATTCATTTTTATCTAAATAATCAAACAGATAATTAAGTGAACTTCCAGAATGACAGACTTCCAAACAGATTAGTTGAAAATATTATGTTAAATAATTAAAATGTAGTAAAATAATTTTCGATTATTTATGCAGATATAGGCAGATATTGACTGTGTTTCAAGACAGAAACTATAAAACAAACGTCTAAAAAGATATAAACGCATATGGATGGTGAAAACGATTTTGTAATGGCAGCTGTTTGGCGGCTACAACACGCCTTGAGATAATCATCAAAATTTCAACACACAGCTGACAACTCGAAGACGTTTACCAACTACGAGGTTTGCTAATGTAACGTTTGATAAAATCAGTTAGAGCTGTCATCTGATGACAAAGAGAAAAATCGATTTTATTACTAATGTTCAGACAAGAGCTATTTTAGTACCTCTTTAACTGATGATTCTATTAGTAAGTTGAAAACGTTTATATAAGAAAACTTAAATTGAGTGATTCATTAAGATATAGGAAGCTGCCAGCTGATTTGGATAAATCGCACAATAACAGATATATCATTTTTATATTTATGTATAATTCAAATAATTGCTGTTCACTTATTAAACAGAAACATTAACAATTATTAAGTGAGATTTTTTCTCGGAATTAAAAGATCTATTTAAATAAAGAAGAATGTTTTAATAGGATAACATAATATTGTTGTTTCTCTGTATCGCACATTTCGTTGTGAAGTGTTATTATTGACATTCGAAGAAATATGATCGTAAAAACTAATTGCCATCTGCGCTGAATCCTCGTAGAAGAATCAAACCCCAGACTCTAGTATAATAAGTCGTCCAATATTTTACCGACGTGCCAAAAGTTAGTTTGTTTTACGTCAATGGGCTATTTGTAGAGTGCCCACCACAGGGATCGAATCTCGGATTTTAGCGTTTTAAGCCCTTAAGCTTACCGCTGAACTAAGCTACCAGGGTCGTTAGATTGACGGATAAGAAAATATCTTACATTATTATTTCATATTTTTTTTGTTCACATCGAAGAAAATTGTTAAGTAATTAACAGCACTTTCCTTTCATAAGATGGTCTGATAGTTAGGGGGCTCTACTGACAATTTTCTGGTCGTGGATGTACCGTACATACAAACTGCTGTATAGTTAGGGGGCTCTACTGACAATTTTCTGGTCGTGGATGTACCGTACATACAAACTGCTGTATAGTTAGGGGGCTCTACTGACAATTTTCTGGTCGTGAATGTACCGGACATACAAACTGCTGTAGCTTTATAACTATATCGCCTTGGGATTTTACTCTGAAGGAAAAGAAACATGTTCCACTCGTTAGTGGTAAGTTTGTTTTATAATTTCATGTAAAATATTAGCTGCTCTTACAAATCTTTAACATAAATATAACCATGTTTTGTACCTGTTATTATTCCTATTATAGAAACTAGCGGGCCGAGAATATACGATACATTAGTATGCTCATTACAGTATTAAAGACGAAAACTCCGAATAACACCTATTTTAAGATATCTACATAAAAAATCCGAAAAACACCAATATTAAGATATCAGAATAAAACTATAAAACAGTTAAAAATAAACACCGAAAACAGAAGCTTTAGTTATAATGTGATAGTCAATCCCACTTTTCATTGTAAAAAGTAGCCCAAACGTTGGCGAAGGATGGTTTTATTTGTTTGTTTGAGGTTAAACACAAAGCTACACAATGGGCTATCTGTGCCCTGCCCGCCAGGGGTGTCGAAACCCGGTTTCTAGCGTTGTAAGTGCGCTGTGCCACTTGGGGGCGGCGGTGGGTGGTATTGAATAGCTACCTTCCCTCAAGTCTATCACTTCTAAATTAGGAACACCTATTGCAGATACCCCTAAAGAAGTTTTGCACAAAATTCAACAAATAAACCTATTTATAAGGCTCCAGTTTAACATTAATGTTTTAATGACCTTATATTTTACTAGATGTACTTCCGCGCGGTTCCTGAAGGCCTCCCCTTTCAAGAGTGAATATAATCAAAATTAGCAGTAGCAAATATTACTATTTATTGCTTTTGAAGTTCATATGTCATGCTGTGTTGTAGCCTACAAAGTGTATAATTCTTCTCGTGATTCATGGAATGCGCATGTTTTACTGACGTCATGTCAGTACAAACTGCAAAGTTAATCGTCCCTTGTGGGACGTTATTTTAGTCACTACTGACTGACTGTATAGTGGTGCGAGTGGTTAAAATAGGTGAGTGATTCCTCCTGGCGGCCTTCGGCCCTCTTTCGTGGAATAAAAGTCATCCAATATTTTAAACACCTTTTCAACTGATTTAAAATATTTTAATGTGAAAGTCACGTCGTTAATTTATGCCAGTATTTGAATATCTTCTTTATATAACTTTTTTGTCTTGAATCTGAGAAGAACTCACTTCCAAATCGAACAAAAGAAGTAATGAGGAAAGGAAATGTTTCACTACACGTTTAATATCAAACTATCCCGTCCTAGAGAACGTGTTAATATAAGACATTAATTTTGGTCAGTATTCACAAAATTATAACACTTTCCAGTACAATTAACTAAAATCTTTTTTCTACGATCTACAGCCATTCAAATACCTGTTATAGAAACGTGTTACAGAATGACACACAACCACGCAACCTAAACACTCTTCACAAAGAAGGCAGTATAAATAAACGTGTTACAGAATGACACACAACCACGCAACCTAAACACTCTTCACAAAGAAGGCAGTATAAATAAACGTGTTACAGAATGACACACAACCACGCAACCTAAACACTCTTCACAAAGAAGGCAGTATAAATAAACGTGTTATAGAATGACACACAACCACGCAACCTATACACTCTTCACAAAGAAGGCAGTATAAATAAACGTGTTATAGACCAAGTAAAAATAGTGTCATTTGTCATTGAATCTTGATCTAATAAATTTAACGGAAATTGTAAATGTACGAGCTGAATGGTACCTTATGCGACACATAGGATAAATGACCTGGACAGGGCCATCAAAGGTTAGGACATAGCATCCATAACTGAGATCTACTAACTACAGAAAAGAAAATCAGTTACTCTTGACCGAATGTGGGTGGAGGTTGAACTAAAAGTGAGGCGCGTGTTCATTAGCATAACGCACCTAGGCCTTGGTCCTTTTGATACGACATTTTAACCACTAAGCCACAAGATATTTTTTACTTGTCTTGAAGTTATCCAATGATATATAGTGCTATTAATACTGTGTCCTTTTTTTTTTTTTTGGTTTTTGACACGGAAACTTAAGTGAAACATAATGTTTGCATTGAGCTACCTGCAAACTATGAGCTTCATGTGTTCACAACCCAGCACTAGCTTACCCCTATTGAGTTACCTGAAAACTATGAGCTTCATGTGTTCACAACCCACCACTAGCTTACCCCTATTGAGCTACCTGCAAACTATGAGCTTCATGTGTTCACAACCTAGCACTAGCTTACCCCTATAATTTAGACCTTTGATTAAGTTTAATGTAACAGCCATCACGTAACGGACTAAACAAACACTGTGTGTAATCTTACACTTCTATTATTCTGAAGCAGTTAGTGACGTCATACAATGTGAATTTTAAATCAAGTAGTGCTATCAGAACTACAATGTTTATGCTTTGAAACAGAAGGTGCCATCATAGCATGTGAAGTCCTTTGGAAGAGGAAATGATGACACGTAGATATGTTTCTAATCGCGCGAACAAGGGTAACATCATAAAATCCAGCTGTGACGTATTTTATCTTTACTTATTTTACGCTCCAGTTTCACTTATAATATTGTAATAAACAACTGAAGTTAACAGAATCAAACAGTTAATTATTGTACCAAGAGTAGTTATTTTATGTAGATCTGTTGTATACGTACATTATGACAAGTCGAAAACAAATGTGCACCTTAAACTCTCGTACCCAGACAGTTGACAAGTTTCCCGCTATAACAGTCACTAAGGGTTCTGTAACAACAATGGATAACCAACCTACCAAAATAATACTTCGATTTAATGTTTTTTTTAAACACAGTGATATAAAGCTTCTATTATTTAACATTTTACCGCCTTGGAATGTTAACGTATTATATAAAAAGTCAAAACTATGAAACTAAATAATTAACCCTAGAATTACCCATAGGAGTACTTATAGACTCCATCAGCTTTTTAAACATGTTTTTCTACACTTTTATGCATAAACCTGTCTATGAGTCCAAAATGAATTGGTTGCATGACCTCTAATAAATAACGTGCACAAAATATTTTAACAAAAATGTCATCTTATGTAATTAATCTTACAAATTATTGCTGTGCTTTCCTGTGTATTTTGCAGAGAAAAGGTGTGATTTTTGTCAGTTCTTTAGATTGGGTGTTGTAACAGGAAAGTAACATTAACTCTAAGGAACGGTATTAAAACAAGTTGGTAATCTAGGGGTTAAACATTAATGTGTATATGTATATCTCTAGATATAGATATACGTTTTTAGAATGGAATATCTCTTGTAACAGGAAAGTAACATTAACTCTAAGGAACGATATTAAAACAAGTTGGTAATCTGGGGGTTAAACTTTATTGTGTATATGCATATCTATAGATATAGATATACGTTTTTAGAATGGAATATCT